CCGTGCAGCACCTGATCGGGGAAACTGATAGCACGGCCCGCTACTACAATGTTCGGACCTTGGGAATCGGCGAAAGGCACGGAACAGCTGATTGGCGAAACCGCGGCGAGACAGGTCAGCAGAAACAGCGCGCAGCGGACGGGAATGGTGGCATCACGACGACGTTCCATCCAGGGCCCGCCACCTCGGCAGCACCGGGGAAGCCCGCTGCCGCAGGCTGCAGCGCCGTGCATCATCACAATATTTCCCAGGAAAGTGTCGCGCTGGCAAAAAGCGAGTCGAAGGCCTTCTAAGCTGGATTGGAAAACGACTTCCGTTGTACTTTTATCTCTGGATGATTCTCTGCGACGAACGCGCAGCCTCAAGCTGGGGGAAGGTGGAAGTTCCGGATATTCGCGTGCTGCCTAATAGAAGTCACGAGTCGTGAGGGCACACGAGAAAAGTGGGGGGGAAAACACCATCTGGTTGGCCGGGAAAGGCGTGAAATGCCATTGCGTGGCACTGAAGCTCACTGATAACTAGCCGCTTCGTCGGGTATTGTGCGAAGGACGTGCTATCACTCAAAACCATACCCAACCGTTTCCAAGTCGCCTCAATTTCCTTCTGACTCGCACAGAATCTCACCCAACGCAAAAAACGTACTCGAGGGCAATGCCCTATAATCCCACAGTTCTGCGAAACTGAAGTCGTTTGACGACATCATAGAAAGGCGAGTAACCACTCGCTGCCTTTACAGTATCTCCTCGCGAACGCCAGTCGTCAGTCGGTCTTAGCTGACTTTCAGTGAAACCCTAGGCCCGATGGTGTTTGCTTGCTCCAACCCAAACCAAATCAGCCACTCATGGTGAGCCGTGAATCGCGAGTCGTGACTTCACCCATGCCAATGTGAGGGAGATATTTTTATAGATATTGCTGCTGAGGTCAGCATTTCTCTTGGTAAAGATTTGCCGCGCTGTCCCCGCGTGACGTTTGCAAAAACGGATTGGTAACAAAATTGGTGCATGGGAAAGATGGCTTGGAACACATTTCGAACGAAGTTGTAAGAAATTACCATTCCTTACTGGGGCTCGCCACAGCGAGTACACGCGAACAGTTCGTGTCCGCACGCTAGGCCTCGAGTCACGCGTCAAACCAGCCCCCGTCGACCTCGTCAGCCCCAAACTCATCCCGAGTCGCCCCGAACCCATTTTGACCCCGTCACCCTCGGGACTACCGAGCCCTTGACTGGTCCAGCCATCCACACTCAACCCTAGTCAACTCGCACTATATGTGTCATGAATCAATCAGAGTAATAACAGGTAGTGTAATAAAGGATTCTTGATTCAAAAGTCTCGATGTTGACAAGGGCCTATGCATTTATAGGCACGAACAGAGCTAGCCGAGAACCACGCGAACAGGTTGGGGCGGTCCGGTTGGCGAAAGCCACAGAAGCGCCGCGCGTCTAGGTTTGGGTTCGCGAATTGGTTCGGGACCGAAGAAGTTGGTCGAGCCTGGACTTCCGAGAGTTGGACAGAGCGCGTACGCGCTGTAGTCGAGCCCAGTAAGGAAAAGGGAATTTCCTTGCACCAACCCACCTCCCGGGATGAGACTATCCACATCCGGGACACGTCGTCGGTGTAAATAGTCCCGGACGACTTTGTGTTCACCGAGCATAACTGCGGGGACCCAAAGATCGTCGTCAGTCATGCGATCGACCCATCGTACAAGGAAATTAACGGCTGTTGTATCTCGATGGCCTCGTACGCGATGAGCAAGAATCTTGGACGGCTCGATCGCTCGTGTGAGAGTACGACCCCGTTACACCACTTGCCCTATTCTTATTTCCTTCCTATTTCATTCTTCTTTTTATCTCATCTCATTTGGTTTCCTATTCTCTATTCTTCCATTATCCTTTGGTTGATCCTGCTGTTATAATTATATCACCGACCAGGCTTGGGATGTACTGGCACGTTATCCAGCGTAATCCTGCCGTAATCCCTTAAAGCCAATAGCCTCGCGTGGCTATACGCAGGGTGATTCTATATTCTAGAAGGGTCTATTCCTTTGGATAGATAAACCTGGTTACCTGATGTACTCTGGAAGTATAAAAGCGCCTTGTACTGATCGATAGTGCAACCTTTCCTCGACATTCGATCCTGTGACACTTGGTAATCAGAGCTTTTCTCACTCGGCCGCGCTCACTAAGCAGCAGCAGCGGGGACCTGCCTCGAAAAACCGCCGGGGGCGACCAATTCGACGCCGATTCTGGTAAGCACCAGCTCCGCGATTTTCGAATTACCCCCTCCGCGTGTTTTGAACAGGATGGCAACCTTCGACAACGCCGAGGTTACCCAGCAGCTCTTCGCGCGCATCGCAGCCCTTCAGGAGGAAATGCGAGCGGATCGCGAAGCGTGGCGAAACCAGTTCGAGCGAGTAACTCGACTCGCCGGAGCGCAGCACGACGACAACGGCGACGACGCAGCAGTCGCAGCAGTTTCTCGAGGCTCCGAAACCGCGCCCACCTGAGCCGTTCGATCCGAGCGATCGAAACTCCGACGCCCGCAGATGGATCGCCGGGATGGAGATCTACTTCGCAGCCGTCGGATGGAGCTCGCCAGTCTGGGACGGTCAACGCGTACGACTCGCGGCGACACTGATGCGAGGGCCGGCACTCGAGTGGATTGGCGGCAACAGTACCTTCATCCACGGTGAAGCCACGTGGCAGCAGTTCCGCGCCGACCTGCTGAAACGATTCGAGCCGATAAATTCGAGTTTCCTTGCCCGGAAAAAATTCATCGCCATCGACAGTTCGGGAGTGTAGCACAGTACACGCAGCAGATGGAAGAATTTTATAACCGCATTCCCGACCTGACCGAAGGGGAAAAAGTGCAATCGTACCTCGCGGGCTGAAGACCGAAGTCAAACGACAAGTGGCAGCGTCAAACTACGCGAGCTACAGTGACGTCGTTTCGGCGCGGAGCGCTTCGACATGGTCAACGCCGGAACACGACGGACGCACGTCGGCAGTACGCGACAGGGCGACCGCTCGGCTCACCCCACGTTCGCCGACCCGATGGAAGTCGACAGATTCGAGGGGCGGCCACGTCCGAAAAACACCAACTACACGTGTGATTTTTGCGGGGTGCCGGGCCACCGAATCTTCGACTGCAACAAAATGAAGGCCGCACGCGCAGAGTATCGGGCACGCAACAGTGGCGGAAATCTTCGGCCAATCAGAAGACAAAAAACGGGAGTCGCCAGTGATTGCGGATCTAGCTGGCGAAAATAAAAAGATCCGAAACGGCCGCGGGATTCCGGAAAATCAACTTCGACGAAGCTGATTCGACGCGAGAAGGAGGAAATGATGGGGGAAAATCTCCACCCCACGACCAGTCTTCGCCAGGGAAAATCGCCGAGGAAAAATACGACTCCGCGAAAAAAGACTCTGCCGAGACGGGGAAACTCCTTGAAGACCCAAGAAATTATAAGAATTCGTTAAAGTTATCTTATAAAGATGCTTTAATGAAAACTTATGATTTCGAGGGGCTAGAGCCTTGGAGAAATTTCGGGAGGGACTCCAAAAGAAGCAGACAGCTGTGGAGATTATACCGGTACCGGACAACTTGGGGAAAATTAAGGAGTGTGGAAAGAAGCCGACCTTTCCACGGAGTCAACGTCCTCTCCCGACACCAGCCCACAACGACTACCCGTTCCCCAGGGAAGACGTCGGTGGAGCTGAAGCAGCTCAAGAGGAAGCTGGGGGTCTACAAGAAGCTGCAAACCCCGAACTCCTCCTACGGATGCATCCAGTTCTTCGGCATCAGTGACGCGCACAGTCGTCAAGGAAACTCCGGGCCCTGGAGAAGAGCCGTTCTCCAAGCAGCCTCGGCCAGCTGCCAGCTCAGGAGAGATAGCAACACAAAGGTGTGTACGGAATATTGGGATGTACCCTATGACCCAATCAATGAAACTATCTTTGGGTACTCCGAGCAACGACTGCCCCTCGTGCTCGAGGTCATCTGCAAAGGACGACGCCTCCAAGCACTCGTGGACAGCGGAGCATCACACACCGTCTGCGACAAGGCAGATCGACCGACTTCGGGAAGAGTACAAGCCTTCAGGATTCTCTGCAACGATGGTGGACGGCAGCAAGTTACCAGTACACGGCGAAGCAGTGCTACACCTACAAATTGGACCACTGCGCTGGAGACCTGCACTCCCCATCACCAACATCAAAGGGCTTGACTTGATCTTCGGGCGAGACTTCCTGAAAAGATTCAACCCCGAGATCAACTGGGTGAACCGCACCGCAAGCATCTACAACAATGGACGGAGAGTACAGCTACCCAACTGGGACGATACAGGAGATATCCCAGTGGAGACACTCGCACGATTCGAGAAGGACGTGAAGCGGACCGACACCGGGTTCCTGGCGATAGCAACAGAGGTGGAAGACGACAGGAGAAAGCCTCGGAAACTCCAGAAAAAATCAAGGAATTACTGAAGGAGTTCCAAGACATTCTTCCTGACGATCTTCCGAACGAGCTACCGCCATACCGAACGCATCAACACGAGATCGTGGAGGAACCGGGTTCGAAGCCGACCTTCCGAGCACCATATCGGCTCAGCCCTACGGAGCTGACCGACATGAAAAACAGATCGAGTATCTCCTAGCCAAAGGACTCATCCGACCATCACTTCGCCATACGGTGCCCCAGTACTCTTCACACCGAAACCGGACGGAAGCCTGCGCATGTGCATCGACTACCGAGCTCTTAACAAGCAGACCATCAAGAAATATCCGATACCGCGAATCGATGACCTGCTTGACCAGCTTCGGGGAGCTACGGTATTTTCCAAACTGGATCTGCGGTCCGGATACTGGCAGATACGGATGGCGGACAACTCTATCCACAAAACTGCTTTCCGAACTCGGTACGGATCGTACGAGTATTTGGTAATGCCGTTCGGACTCACCACCACACCGGCAACGTTCCAAGCCGAAATGAACCACATTCTACGACCACTTTGGACGAATGCGTGGTGGTGTACCTGGACGACATACTCATCTACTCGCGCGACATGAAGCAGCACGTCGAACACCTGCGACGCGTCTTCGAAATTCTTCGACGAGAACGATTCTACGTCAAACTGTCCAAGAGCGAATTCGCCCTTGAGAAGGTCCAATTTCTAGGACACATGGTGAGCGCTCAAGGAGTTCACGTCGACCCCAAGAAAATCGAAGCCGTACGTACGTGGAAGACACCCGAGAACGTGAAGGAGTTGCAGCAGTTCCTAGGCTTCGCTAATTACTACAACAGGTTCGTGCCACAGTATGCGAAACTCGCGGCACCACTCACGAATCTGCTGAAGAAGAACACGCCCTACAAATGGGAGACGAAGCACCAGGAAGCCGTGGAGCAGCTGAAACAAGCACTAACGTCCGCACCGGTACTCATCTTGCCAGATCCCGAACGCGACTACGTCATCGAAGCTGACGCCAGTGACCAGGCAGTGGGAGCAGTCTTGATGCAAGACCAGGGGAATGGACTGCAACCAATTGCCTACCTCAGCAAGAAACTGCACGGGGCAGAACTCAACTACCCGATACACGACAAAGAGGCCTTGCATGTCATCGCCTTCAAAGCGTGGAGATGCTATCTCGAAGGACGAAGAACAACCGTCTACACCGACCACTGCAGCCTGAAATATTTGAAGACACAACCCAACCTTTCCAGGCGGCAGGTCCGGTGGATCGACTTCCTCGAGACACACTTCCACTACGACATCGTGTACAAGCCCGGCCACAAAACAAAGCAGACGCTCTCAGCCGGCCTGCACACGTTGCCGCGATTCAGGTCGAAGGGATGAATCCACTACTCAAGGGACTCTTCACACACGGGTACGCCATCGACCCCGAAATTCCCTTGGCAGAAAAGCGACATCTGCTACAGTGGGACAGTGACATCGCGTACCGGAAAGGATCAACAAAAATCTGGGTACCCAATTACCCTCCTTTGCGCCAGTTACTACTCGAAGAATACCACGACGTCCTCTACGCCGGACACTTCGGTAGCAACAAGACGCTGACCGGTATCGCAAACACTACTACTGGCCCCACTTGGCAGACGATGTCAGAAATTCGTCACCTCGTGTGATACATGTCAGCGGATGAAGAGCAGCAAGCAGAAAAAGGCGGGACTACTGCAGCCTCTTCCTGTCCCAGAACAACCATGGCAAGTGGTTAGCCTGGACTTCATCACCGGGTTACCACCTACCTCCAGCGGTCATGACGCATCCTTGTCGTCATTGACAAGTTCTCCAAAATGGGACACTTCATCCCGACACACACGACGGCACGCACCGAGGAGACAGCACAACTCTTCGTTCGTACATCATCTCACAGCATGGCATCCAACTACACTCATCTCCGACCGAGACCCCAAGTTCACCAGCAAGTTCTGGAAGGAACTTATGTCTCTGCTCGGCACCAAACTCGCCATGTCATCCGCATACCATCCGCAGACAGACGGACAGACCGAGCGCCTCAACCAAATTGTTGAGCAACTCCTCCGAGCAGCCTGCAAGGACGACATCTCCAAATGGGACTTGCACCTGCCCGTCTAGAGTTTGCTTACAACAATGCTACACATGCCGCTACTGGACAGACGCCGTTCTTCCTCTGCTACGGACGCCACCCACTCACACCACAGAAACCGACACATCAGCTACAGTCCAACCTGCACATGATTTCATCACAACCATGCATCAGCTTTGGGATCGGACCCATAAGCGCCTCCTTGACATTCAACAGCAACAGAAGCGCCAGGCCGATCGCCATCGCAACGACCACACCATCACGGTGGGAGACCAGGTGCTCTTGACACCCGCAACCTGGACATCAGCCACCTCCCATCTAAACTTCGACCTCGCTTCTGCGGGCCTTTTCTCGTTGAAGCACAGGTCACTCCTGTTACCTTCCGCTTACGCCTGCCAGCTACCTGGAAGATTCACAACGCCTTCCATGTCCAACTTCTGAAGCCCTATCGGGATCCTAACACGATCTTCGTCGGACGCCAACCGCCGCCGCCGCCGCCCGTCCTCGTCCAGAATGAACCCGAGTACGAGGTCGAGTCCGTGCTTGCACACCGCGTCGTCGGAATGGCACCGTGGAGCTTCTCATCGTTGGAAGGGTTATGATCCTTCTGAGGACAGCTGGGTCTCTGAGTCCGACATGGGTAACGCCCGTCGTCCTCTGCATGACTACCTTGTCAAGCAGGGTGTTACTTCTACCACCCAGCTTTGAGGGGGGAAGTGTGAGAGTACGACCCCGTTACACCACTTGGCCTTTTCTTATTTCCTTCCTTTTCATTTCTTTTTATCTCATCTCATTTGGTTTCCTATTCTCCATTTTCCATTTCCTTTGGTTATCCTGCTATTATAATTATATCACCGACCAGGCTTGGGATGTCTGCACGTTATCTAGCGTAATCCTGCCGTAATCCCTTAAAGCCAATAGCCTCGCGTGGCTATACGCAGGGTGATTCTATCTTCTAGAAGGGTCTATTCCTTAGGATAAGATAAACCTGGTTACCTGATGTACTCTGGAAGTATAAAAGCGCCTTGTACTGATCGATAGTGCAATCTTTCCTCGAGTCATTCGATCCTGTGACAGCTCGGGTACTGGGTTGACCGTAGGATTGATGTGTTGACGGTCGAGATTAGTCGTACTCGGGACGAACGGTCGCACGAGACTGACGTGGAACGAATCATGGATTCGCAATTCGCTTGGCAGTTGCAGCTGGGCGGTGGCTGGTGTCACCATGCGGATGAACCAGAATGGGCCGCAAAATCTTGGTCGTAATTTATTTGGGAGGGGAATTCCCAAATTTATGGTGTCGAGCAAAACCCATTGCCCAGGGGCAAGTGTTAAATCTCGGCGTCGTCAGTCAGCTTGCTGCTTAGCCATCTGGTTGGCTTTGAGGATGGCATCGGCGACTTTTTGCTGAGACTGTCGGAGGTTTTCGACGAACTGCTGAGATCTTGGTGCTGGTTTTTCTATCGGGGGTGATAGAGGGGTTGTCGGATCTATTCCGTAATTAAGGAAGAACGGGGACTAAGTAGTCGTGGCCGATGGGGCATTATTGTACACAAACTCGATCAAGGGAAGGGCGTCTTCCCATTGGGCTGGGTCTGTGCACGTTGTGCGAAAAAGCTGCTCCATCGTTCGGTTGGTGCGCTTAGTCTGGCCGTCCAATTGCAGGTGGTATGGCGTGGACAGATGCAGACGTTTGCCATACTGCTGCCAAGTTTTTGACCAGAAGTTGGACGAGAACCATGGGTCATGATCGCTGATGATTGCTGAGGGGATGCCGGTAGCCGCACAATGTTCGTGAGGAACGGTTTCGCTGTCTTCTCGGCAGTAATCGTCGTCTTGCAGGCGGCAAAGTGGGCCAACTTGGTCAACCGGTCAACGACGACGAGGATCGCGTCGTTCCCGCTTGGACCAGCTGGCAGGCCAGTGATGAAATCCATGGTCACTTGTTGTCAGGGTCGGCTGGGTGGCTCTAGCAATCCCACAGGTTGAAGTCGGGAAGACTTCATGCGTTCACACGTGGCGCAGAAGGTGGCATAGAGCTGGACGTCTGTCGGCAGGTCGGGCGAGTAATAATTATGCCTCAGTAAATTGGCGGTTTTGTCGACGCCGTAGTGACTTGAGAAGTTCGAGCCATGTGCCCCAGGATTATTAATTCCCGTTGGGTATGGTAGGCGTGAACCCAAATCCGATTGGTACGGATTTTAGGTAATAGGCCCTTTGCTTGTCCGTCACTTGGGATGACTGTTAGTGGTGAAGAAGCTGTAAGTACTGTATCCGTGGGTGAATAGGCCAGTTAGCACCGGATTACCTTGGGTAATTAGGACGGTTGCGGTGTGGACTGAAGGGCGGGTCAGTATTTTAGTGATGTTCTAACCCCCCGTTTATATTGACTCTTTAGTGGAAGTTGGACTCGAGGTAGTAGAGCCAGGGAATCTATCGGGGATTTGGTGTCGGTTGGGCGCGGATGAATTGTAGCGATTTGTGGTCTGTTCGGACTGTCATGTAAGCGCCCGTCAGGTAGCAGCGCCAGACTTTGAAAGCGTGAACGATGCGAGTAACTCCTTGTCGTGGACAGCATAATTTCGCTCGGTCGGATTCAGCTTTCGTGACTCGTAGGCGATGGGTTGGACACCTTCGTGAAGTCTTGTAACAGTACTGCGCCAACGGCCAGATCGCTAACGTCGGTGATGAGCTCGAATGGACGGTGAGGATCTGCAATCCGAAAAAAACCGGAGGTGTAGTCAGGAAAAGTTTGAGCTTTTCGAACGCAGCCTGCTGCTCTCCCCACCACTCATAAAACTTGCCATTCTGCAGGAGATCCGTGAGAGGGGAAGTTACCCCCGCCATGTTCGGAATGAAACGGCGGACGTAATTCGCAAACCCCAGAAAACTCTGAAGTTCGCGAAGATTAGCCGGCCGCTTCTAGTCTTGGATTGTCGCAATCTTCTTGGGGTCGATTTTAACACCGTCGATGGAAATGACGTGGCCCAAAAACTCCATTTCGTGTTTTAGAAACTCGCACTTTGTGCTCTTGGTGATGATTCGATGCTGCTGCAAGAGAGAAAAAACTGTTGTCAAATCCTTCAAATGCTGCTCCCAGATAGTGCTGTAGACCAGGATGTCGTTGAGGTACACGATGACGCATTTATCCAGCAGCGGCCAAAAAAACCTCGTTCATGGGTAACTGAAATGTCGAAGGCATGTTTGTTAAGCCAAAAGGCATAATCGTGTACTCGTAACCTCTATATTGGGTCTGAAAGGCCGTTTTGTAGCAGTCAGCTTCGTTCACGCGGATTTGGTGTTAACCACCTCGCATGTCAATTTTCGAGAAGAATTTGGCTCCGCGAAGATGGTCGATGAGTTTGTTGGCACGCGGGATAGGATAGCGAGACTTGATGGTAACCCGGTTCAAGGCACGTTAGTCAATACACATTCGTAGACCGCCATCTTTCTTCGGGGTGAACAGTATTGGAGCTGCAAATGGTGAGGTGCTGGGGCGAACGAATCCTTTTTCGAGCAGGTAGTCCAGCTGGCTTCGAAGTTCATCCAGCTCGGGCTGAGTCAGCCGCCATTGGGTCTGAATAGTAGGCTGCATGCCGAGCTCCAGCTCGATTTTGTGGTCATGTTCTCGCTCAGGTGGCAACCCGCCGGTAGATCATCTGGAAAAATGTCGGCGTGTTTCCGAATCACCATCGCCAAGTCATCCGGGATAGCTGCGCAGAGTTTGTCGATGTCGGTCGCCGTGTCAACAGCCGTTGATGCGATCCATCGGACGGCATATAGTTCCACCCCTCAAATCATTGCTCTCTTGATCGTCACCACGCTGACCGTCAATTTGGTCGAATTTTGGCAGCTCCACCTGGGTAGTCGTCGCCACTCTCCACTCCACTTTATGCGACAATCGCCCGTCTGCCATTCGATGCTTGGGTTGTATTTGCGTAGCCAATCGCGTCCCAGCAGCATGTCGCACCCGTCCAAAGTTGTCGCCAGCATCTTCGTCGTGAAACTGAAATCTTCACCGCATGTTGCTCGCACGTGAGGCACACACTCCTGAATTGCAAGTGGTGTGCCGTCAACCAATCTCGCGTCGAATTCGGGCATGCAGCGCTCCAGCTGCAATTGCAATTTTCGCCTTCGTCACGTCCATCAAACAGTGGCTCGCCCCACCATCAACGAATATTTTGATGCGGGTGTCGCCAACTCTTCTACCAACACAGCGCGATCAACCAATTCACCCCCCTTATTCAGCCAGGAATGGTCGATAGCCCAAATCGGCACTATAACCTGGTGGGGGTGGTGGCGTTTGGGCGACGCTGTCAAGTTAGTAAGTGGCCCATCTGCTACTGACGATCTCCATTTCCCGACTGCTTCTTATCATTAGCTAAGTTCCTGTTCAGCTGCGAGTAGTCCCTCACCATGTGACCTGGCTGGTTGCAGTGGAAGCAGGTGCCCGAAAATACTAGGGCTGCAAACATGTCCACGCCATTGATTGATGTGTGTTGGGGCTGACCTTCAAAGCGATTTCCCTCCCGAAAACCCGCTCTCGCGAGTCCACGTCGTGCATCTAGCGCGCCTGCTATGCGAAATATTTTGTTGAATGTCGCCGGGGCTCGGAGGACGATCTCTTGTTGAATCTCCGCTTTGAGACCACCCATGTAGCGATCGATACAATCATCTTCGCTACGCCCTCCAGTTTGGTCGCAGATTGCCAGAAACGACGCCATGTATTCTTGGACATAGACCAACTGTCTCCACATCCGAAGCTTTGTGCGAGCATTTTCACGCATGGATATGTGCTCGAATCTGCCCTTCAATGCTTTGCCCTACGCTTTCCATGTGCGGATCATGGCCGACCCAAAGATCGGTTCTACCTTCGCTGTTGATGAAATGTGCTCCCCATCTACCGCCCGTTGATTCCCTGTCGGGGCTCCTCCCTCGTCCAGATGCATGCGCCACCAGTCGAGTGTCGGTCCCCTCAGCAACGATACAGCCAAGTTAACACGTAATGCGTTGTCATTAGTACTTGCTGCTGTGATGAAGATTTCCATGGTGAACAGCCACCCGCTCACTGTAGTTGTCCTATCGGTCGGGTTTAACGGTGGTGGCATCAGAGGTTTGATTTTAATGGCCGCCCACTGTTCATTGTGGACTTCTTCAACTGCTTCAGGTGTTGCCGACGCCCTCGCTTTGCTCGTAGCATCTTCGTCTCGGGTAACAGGCCGCCCCTGACGCGTTTTCACCCCGCGCCTGGCAAAGCGACGCGTTTTCGGTGTGCAGCGTCTGCACCTTGCTCCCCAGCGTCTCGAACTTATCAGCAAGTTGTTGAAGCTGGGCCTGCAGTGTCGTCTCTGTAGTCGCCCTGGCTTGCAACTCGTCAAACTCCTCTTGAGTCACGTTCCTAACACTACGACGGGCAAAGGATTCCGGTGTGGTCATGCTGGAAATTTTACCTGACAGATCTGAGGGTGCACATGCTTTTAGTTGGAGGAGCTTTAACAAGCTCACCTACCAACCGCAGGCCAACCCCCTATTCTGTCGGGTCCTCTCCCGATATAAACGGACTACTCTACGGAAGACTAAGCGGGCAGGAACGGAGCTCTGATACTAGCTGTTATGAACTAATCAGAGCAATAAAAGGCAGTGTAATAAAGGAGTCGTGATTCAAGAGTCTCGATACAAATGAGAGCCTAGGCATTTATAGGCACGAATGGAGCTAGCCGAGAACCACGCGAACAGGTTGGGGCGGTCATGTTGGCGAAAGCCACGGAAGCACCGCGCGTCTAGGTTTGGGTTTGTGAAGTGGTTCGGGACCGAGAAAGTTGGCCGAGCCTGGACTTCCGAGAGTCGAGGGCGTATGCGCTGTAGTTGAGCCCAGTAAGGAAAAGGGAATTTCCTTACAATATAAGCCCTATGTCTCATTTGGATAGGAAATTCTGTACTCACGTTCCCCTTATTGAATACTGCGTTACACTCTGAGTTATAGTTGATAACAACTGGTATCTGAGCTACGTTCCTGCCCATTAGGTTTCCGGTAGGGGAGCATACCCTATCGGGGAAGGGGGCGGAAGGATGCTGATGGAGAGCGGATGTCGCGGAGATTAATTGCGCGGGCGTTGCCGATGCCATCAGATCCTGCTTGATGGACGGTTGGGAGTAGCTGGTCCTCCCCTTCCCTGGTCGTAGACGGAATTATTCTCCGTCGAAGAGTGGGCGACGTTTTCGCCGTGTTTTTTTGGTATGTTCGTTAGAGATTTCGTAATTTTCGGGTGTTCAGACAGAGTCTTCGGATTGGCTTCCGAAAAAGCAAAGGCATTGTCATGAGGAGACAAGTGCAAGAGATTTCTCAGGCGGCCGGGAATTGGTCGTCAGGAGCATGCAGTGCGGCAAAAATGGCGGGATGTACGTCGATGTACGTCTGGTGCGCCATGAAGCTGCAGGGTGAACTGTAGCTGTGTTGCGGGTACCGGCGTTTCTGGCACGCTAGTTGCAGACGATGGACGGGACTTCAAAACTGTTTCGGTCATAGGCGGATCCAACAATTTCGGAACAAAATGATCGCATGAGGACGTGGGTGTGTGCCGTTGCGTGGGAGCAGCTGTGATTAACGACCTCAGCACTATTCACCACGATGGCCATCTGGAGGTGATGACGCTGTGCTGGAGTAAGTGTACTCTGCAAGGACGACTTCCCGCGTGGGGAGGCGTTTTTCGTGGACCAGCGATTCATACCCCCACGATCAACGGAAACGGAGGCCACCACCCTTGGATGTATATTAAGTGTTTTTCCATTGGTCGCCGAAAGCGTTAACTGTCAGGAGCTAAAACAGTGGAAGAAGAACGTCGGGAGTACTGGAGCAGTTAAGTGTTAGCGGCGTTCGGGCTGCTGCTCGCTCAGCAACGTCGCCTGAATATCAGCATCCCCACCAGCTAGCACTGTCGACTTATTAATCGACGGCACTTGGCTGAATAAGGGGGGGTGAACCCGAGAACTACACTGTGCTGATGGTGTTAGAACAGCAAAATGATTGAAATGAGAAGTACAGAGTGGTTTCGACCTAGTGAGACGTACTCTCTAAGGCATGCCCCTATCTAGGCTATAGAAACATATACAAATATGTTTGACACACCCCTAGACTGGACAAGGGGCAGTGTCGGGAAGGAGACACAAAACTCAGGGTGGCACTACTAGCCCAACCACT